AAAACACCAAACAAGTTGGAGGATAACCCAGACTATTTCCTTTAAAAAGTCCAGTGTAGCTCACACATGGGTGTTATAATGGGGCTTCAAGCTCAACACGCCACAATATAGGATAGACAACAACAAAATGCAGTTTCAACCATAGGGTAATGAACCTATGGAATCGCCTATCCGCTGAAATATCAATTATTTGGACTGAGTGCTAGAGCGATCTTGCAGAGTTGGCGCTCGATCCCCATTAGCTTGACCGATTCAATACCGTTTCTTTTTTTTTTTTTTTTTTTTTTTTTTTCTTTTTTTTTTTTGAGATATATACAAGAGTTGTTACATTCTTGTACAGCCACTAGTACGCGTAGCGTTTCGGGCAAGTCCTTAATCCTATGGTCCCTGGAATACGATCCCCTGCCGCGAAGAATCGTTTTTTCATCCAAGTATACATTTTACTGTTGCGTTAAACAGGGGCTACAGTTAAGGAATTGCGCCCAGTAAATCCTCCCCGGCCAGGATACGAACCCATGACATAGCGCTCGCGGAACGCCAGGCGAGTGTCTGTTTCCTTATTTTGTCCATATAATCCACCTCCCTGTCCATATATCCCCGCTCCCTCTCCTCATTTCCCAGCTCCCTGTCCACATATCCCAGCGCCTTGTCCTCATATCACAGTTTTTTCTGCACAGATCCTTTCCAAGTGCTATATAGTCATTGTAGCTTAGCACACTCTCACGATGATTAGCTCACCTTGCCAACCCGCCGAAGCCGTAAATGCCAAGACAGAGCTCCTTGTGAGAATGCCACAAGGAGGGGGGAACTCCTCAGGAAGGGAGGGAAGTGAGGAGGGCGACCTTTGACGAGCCCCTGCGGCTGCTTCTCCCCAGTGTCACTGGAGACAGTGACCCACTGAGAGATCAATTAAGTCTGGCGTTGAGCTTACGGCCTGTCAACCTCTGGAAGGCCGTGACTCTAGCTTACTGATCAACCAGCAGGTATACGTTTGCGATGAGTCACAATAACGTGGCTCAAGTACGTCCCTTTACCTTCTAGTGTGTGGTCTGGTCAACAGGTATACGTTTGTTGGTTTAGTCTTGAACATAGTTCAGAAAAGAAATCTCTAATTGTATATACACCAAAAAGCGGGGTACACTTCTTGGTATGCACATTTCCCCCGTAGGCGTTGGTAAATTTACCTGAATTTTCCTGTGGGGCCACTATTTATCTGGTGTCCTCGACGTGGACAAGAAGCCGGGGTCTTGTCAAAGGTCCTCCCAGTGTTCCTGAGGATTTGTCCAACGGGATCTTAAACTGAAGTAATGTGTTGGTGTTTACGGCTTCGGCGGGTTTTCGATTCTATGAGTTGATTCTCATAGAATCTTTCATAGAATAGAATCATAGAATCTCAGTTCTTTCTCACCCAGCCTGTGGGTGAGATAGCATCTCTTGTTTTCAGTCCTACATTGTGGCTTCTTGAGCTTGAAACTGTTGCTCCTTGTGTTACAACTGACTTTTTAAAGAAACGGTCTGTATTAATGTCCTCCAACTTCCGTATTTCAAAGGTTTCGATGAGATCAGCCCTGTCGTGTCTGGTTTTCAGTGTTGAAGTCCAGTTCCTTCAACGTTACGTGAGCGTGAATGAACCTCATTCTGCCCTGAGATGCTGGGCCACCACCAGGAGGACGGGGAAGCGGCACCAGTAGTCGTAGGTCGCACTGAAATATTTATACACCTCAGCTCTGCGTTTCTGGCTTGTATTGATTTTAGTGATATTTTTTATTTCGAAAAAAACAGGACTAAATGTTCAAGGACCGGCAGCTCTCTGACGATGGGTTGGGCGTCTGGCATGGATATTTGGGGGTATGTGGAGTGGGTGCCTGGGGGTATGTGGAGTGGGTGCCTGGGGGTTATGTATGCAGCGTGAAATCCTTGGGTCGGCTGCTCTGTCGACTCAAGAACTTCACCAACGCAGTACAGGACCTACAGCTTGCCTTGCCTATTCAACGTTACCGTCAGGACAATTCATCTCTAACAATAGTTCCCTCCATCGTTGTCCTGACTAACTGCCTAACCGCCTCTCCCAGCCCTCGACGACTGCTGGACTACACACCCACCATCCTTCTCCCGTCCATCGTCTCCTGCGGGGCCGGTGGGCGAGCCCGTCCGCACGTAGTCTTCTACGTGCGGACGTAGCGTCTTCCGTCTGCGTCTTCTGGCGCCAGATCTATCCATGCTCCACAGTGACCCAGGGAGCGATTGTCACACATTAATGTTTTTCTCCTCACACTTTTCTCCTCCGCTGGGAAGGGAAGTTATGTAGCAATTATATTAAGTGTAATATAATTGCTCTAACTTATCAGAAGTTTCAGTGCAGATAGTTAGATGTGTCTGTTAATTCCACATAATCTATCCATAAGAATTCCACATCCCAAGAAGCTCTACATTAATCTTAGATGCGTTACCAACACACTTGACGTCTCCTCCCTGCACACACTGTCTTGCAACACACGCCCTGCCCGTTAATTACAATTAATGTCTTTTTCCCACGGATACAGGATCAGTCAGGCCAGTCGACAGGTAACCTGCAAAGAAGTTGGTCGGATTGGCAAAGTGAGGAGAAGTTTTTAATAAACGCCTTATTAGGCTGCCTTAATCTTTTGATGTGGGCCTCTGGGGACAGGTTCGGTGTGATATCAACCCCCCAGATCTTTCTCTCTATTTCTCCTTGTGTTCAGCCCTCTGCTCCCTTCACCTAATTTAATTACTTTACACTTACCTGAGTTAAGCTTTAAGTAGCCATTTTTTATACAATTCCTCCAGTTTGTCCAGGTAGTGTAATTGTATTAAAACCAAATTTTAGGCTGTAGCCTACATCCTTTTTCAAGGTGCTGTATACAGTATTCTGAACATTGTATACAGCTTTTTGGGATGAACATTTTCGAATGTAGATTCAATCCGAAAATGAGAATTTTAATACACTTACACATATATATATATAACATTTTAATACACTTACACATAACGTCACATTACAGCAGATTGATGAAGAAAAGGACTTTGGAGTCAACATCCACGACTCAACGAAAGTTGCACAACAGGTTGGGGCAGCAGTCAAAAAATCTAATCAAACACTTAGAATAATCAAGCGTACCTTTGACTTTAAGGAAAAAGAAGGTAGTGATTCAATTGCATAAATCTCTGGTGAGCGCCTATTTGGAGTACTGTATCCAAGCATGGAGATCACATCTTCAAGACATAGCTGCTCTGGAGAAAGTGCAACACCGGGCAACAAAAATCATTCCAGAGCTAAGTTAACTCTTGCATCAGGAACGGTTGAGGGCCAGAGCGCTAACAACACTGCAAACCAGGCATGACAGGGCGGATCTCATTGAAACTTTTAAATACTGAACAATTTGGAGGATGTTGGTCCGGAAAATTTCTTCAAAAGGTCAGATGTAACACAGAAAACGAGCAACGGGTTCAAGCTCAACAAGCCACAAGGTATGACTAAGAACAGGAGAGGCTTCCTCACCCACAGAGTTATAAACCCATGGAACTGCCTACCCGCCGAAGCCGTAAATGTCAAAACTCTGTTATTTTTTAAAGTACAGCTGGAAAATATTATCAAGGCAAGTGGGAGGACCTTCGACAAGCCGCCGGCTTCCTGTTTTCGTCAAGGCCACTAGTGTTTGTGGCTCCCAATTAAATATATGTTAATTAAGGGGTCTTTCCTTCACCTTTAATAATAATAATAATAACATACTATCTACTTCTATATTATATTAATAATAATAAATAATAATAAAATATAATTAAATATAATAATTAGCTTAAGGACCTTTTTACTTTATTAATAAGCTTGGGTATACATAGCAATGTGCTGCTATCCTATTCTATATCAAAGATTACACACTGTAGATAAAAAAAAAAAACTAGCTATAAGTTCATCTAATAGTCCCATCTCACTGGATGGTTAGTCATACATGGAATCAGGGGAAGATTATACCAGCCTCAGTACAAAAACAAATCAACTTTGGCTAAAAATCAGGAGAGAACATGAAGTGTAAGGATGATCTATTAGCCTCCACTAGCAAAAAAAAAAAAAAACCTGGGTACAGCATAAGAATATCTTCCAATGTTCTTGAGTATATGGAGTAATTACAGAGCTCAAAGTACCTCATACCATTAGGTCTCAAGTCCCTTATAACAGGGACAATCACAGATATAGTGTTGGAGAATATGTCCCAACTCTTGTTCACATAAGTTTACAATTAAAATGTTCACCATTGGGGGGATTCATTACCTGCAGCCACCTGCTATAGATATCAACATCCCAGCCTAATTCTGGCAATTACAATGTCACACTGTCTAGTGGATGTTTTATGCTGCCCGTACATATAATTCTCGGTTCTAAATATGCGTGTTAATTGGTTTGTATAAATCTAAGAACGCCGATATTATGTACTCTCACAATCCAATATTCCTTCTTGTATATAAATAAATAAATAAATATAAATATATATATATATTAATTGACGATCATTGGTGCGGTGGTCACGGTACTGTGTACGTTTAGGGGTGATCCTGGACGGCATGGGTTCGAATCCTGGCCGGGTCAAAGAGTTCTTAGTAATATATAGCTTGCGCGTTCATGCAGCTTTCTCACAAATATATATAATAAATAACAATAAAGCGTAATTTTATTAAAAAAAAATATATAATTGCGTGAAATTTAGGAAACGCACTGGAAAGTTATAGTAAAGAGTATTTATTATGAAGAGCCAAATTTTATCCAGCAGCAAGATCATGTAGATGACAGGGCAGGAACGTGGAGGAGTCCGGCCGCACCACGTGACAATTTCCGCGCTTGCCAATGATCTAAACCATTCAAGAAAATATTTATACTGTCGATAAAAAATGAATATTATTCGAGATTTATTATTAAAAGTGGAAAGCACAATTAAGAAATTGAACCGAATTCTAATTACTATTAAAAGTAAATATTTATACCTACTATCTTTACAAGTCAGAGGAAAACTGCGTTCTGATTGGCTCAGATTTCCTGGACATCGGCGCTGTGATTGGCTGCGCCTGTCTCTGCCGGACGACTCTAGTGTTGTGAGCGGCATGGTATCCGTCCGATTGTCATTATGACACATTTTGCAAGTAATACTTTGCCTTTTCTTAGTTGATTTGTCACATAGACTTGTGTAGCGCGTCGGTTGTTATGCCGGGCGGGTGGTTAGGGAGGGGACTATGTGCAACATGTGTAACTAACTATTCCAGAGCATATGTTGGCCACTCTGCTGCTGCTCGCGTGGGAAGCCCACTCGGGATACAATATATTTCCCCGGGTGATTTATTTCTATTTTTGTGGGTTTGGAATAAGGGGCCGATGGTAGGTTGATGTATTTCAGTACCAAATGGCACTATAGGAAGCCTTATTAGGAAATCCTGAATATCTACCATTCTTTTGGTGTAATTTCAGTGGTCATCCTGAACAGGAGAGCAAGTTAGATTTCAAGTTATTCCTTTGAATGAATAGTGAAGATTAGCTCACATATTTAACATCGTGACTACATAGGCCACCAGGTGGAGAGAGAGATCAGTTATGTGCTTTAATGCACTACACAACATTCTTTTTTCAGTTGCTTCACTTTTAACTTGGGTGACTCCATGTTCGTGCTCGCTCATTAAATAGCCAATGTGAATGTTTAAATTATATACACAACTATACCGCAGAAACGTAACTTGTAAAGATTTGAGGCTTACTCTCTGAATTATCCCATCCCAAATCCTTATCCTGACTCCTTCCAAGTGTTATATAGTTGACCAGACCACACACTAGAAGGTGAAGGGACGACGACGTTTCGGTCCGTCCTGGACCATTCTCAAGTCATCACAATCAACTTGAGAATGGTCCAGGATGGACCGAAACGTCGTCGTCCCTTCACTTTCTAGTGTGTGGTCTGGTCAACATACTTTAGCCACGTTATTGTGACTCATCGCCTGCTATATAGTTGTTATAGCATTGGTGCTTTCCCCCCTGATAATTCCCTCCCCTCTCTGAATTGTATACTGTTTTTAACTACATGTGGATTGACGTACATGCCTGGCATCCATTCTCATAGACTGGTCAATACATATCTAGCCATCAGTGTACTATCATTAGAATTGTCACCTTGTCTCTGATAAAAAAAAAACTAAATAATAACCTCTTATTCCTTCTCTTCGTCCCATCCCAAATCCTGACCCTGATTCCTTCCCAGTGCTATACAGGTGTAATGGCTTAGTTCTTTCTCCTGATATTTCCCTAGTTTTGGTTATGTAAGAGGCGTGCACAGTAGCCAGGTGGCGGAATCAACGAGTATTTCAACACTAGATACAGAGTTTGCCGACTCGTGTTGTAGAGTTGAGAGGACTCGAATGATCAGGTTGTTTTATTTTCAGATTCGTGACTTCACTTATTAGTTTACATAATGTATTTTTTGGAAGTCGAGTACCTCAGTTTATTTAAATATGATGGAAACAACAGCAATTGAGTACTGTACTATATACAGGCCTACAATGTAATATGTGCGAACAAGCCTGAATGGTCCCCAGGACTATATGCAACTGAAAACTCACACCCCAGAAGTGACTCGAACTCATACTGCCAGGAGCAACGCAACTGGTATGTACAGGACGCCTTAATCCACTTGACCATCAGGACCGGACAAAAACTGATGGTAGCCGAGGCTATTTAGCCCATCAGCCCGCCGGCACTCTGATGGTAATCTTGGGCATATCTATGTAATAAAACACTTGGCCCTGGCATAGTTCAAAGGAACTTTTATACAACCCAATCCTTTGCTGCTATTCTGTCTAGGAGTATTGTCCAGAAATAGATTCAAACTGATGGGAAAGACCAAATTGTGACTGACAATAATAGTAGGTTACTAGTGCACATTAGCCTCATCGTATAATAAGCATTTCAAAATGATTGTAGAATTTTTTTATGGGTCTTGTTTAATGCTATTACATACCTTGAGGTTACCTTGAGGTGCTTCCGGGGCTTAGCGTCCCTGCGGCCCGGTCGTCGACCAGGCCTCCTGGTTGCCGGACTGATCAACCAGGCTGTTAGACGCGGCTGCTCGCAGCCTGACGTATGAGTCACAGCCTGGTTGATCAGGTATACATCCATATAGTTTTATAATAATCGCATTAGCTCAAGGATTAACATATGACGATAACTGACCTTTAACAAGCAAGTAGGGTTAACAGGTTTCAAGAATAGATAGGATAGGTATATTGGTGAGAGGAGGTATATTTAGATTAGACCCCCCTTCCCCCTTGTATGAGTAAACAGCTCTGCTGCAGTGCTCCATAATTCTTAAGTTCTAATAGGCTAGCCTAAGTAGAATGTACAAAAAAAAATTGAGCAGAAAACATTTTCTGTTGCATTGAGAACAATTTCTAGATCCACATGAGTGGATTTATCATACTGTTGACCACTTCTACATGAAGAAATTCTTAACTGTTTATCAGCTTGATACAGTGTCGGTTTCCTTGCCAATGTAAGTCTTGATGTACTACACGTACGTTAACCACCTAATGGTATCTAGAGTTCATGTAAGTGCTTATCAAACAAAAGCCTTAAAGATATATTGTATATAAATCCTGGACTAATTGAATGCAAAATATATACCGAGTGTATAATCCACTACTACAAATACAATGAATGATACTTTCTAACCATAGTAATATTATGTACATTTCAGCCAAATATATATCCGTTTCATTGTCAATTTTGTAATTAGCAACATAATTATGTATTACAAACATAAGTCATTGAACCATCCTATGGATTAAGAAATAATTTTGAGTCTCAAACTTTACTTCAGACATTAGTTTGTCAGACTTCTTCATGAACAGAGGGGCACTGTGAAGGTACTCATGAAATCCTTGAAAGCTTGTCTTGCATCTGACCTCGTTAATGAAGATGACTGTCGTGTTGCAAATTTTGAAGGATTTGATGCAAAAAATAAGTCAAAATTGCTATATCTGAATCATTAGGAATTGCTGTATTCAAATCGAGCAGGAATCTCGAGTGAAAAAAGTATACATGTTTGAAATAAGACAAATAGGATACTGGATTTAATACCTACATGTGTTTAGTATCTCTCCATAAAGGAGTGTTAGTATTTTGAGTCTGGGAAATATTTAATTCCATTTAAAGAACTGTACCTCAATATATAAGATGTTGCTATAATTAACTGCCTATGTAATATTTATTTTTAAATGTTTTCAAATAAAGTGCCTTAAGTGAAAGGATGTATTGCCTTACAGTTCACACCAGTGATGGGGCACAGTTTACTGATGGTCCCCCAGACTTTGGGAAAAACTCTACAAAATTTGAAGGTTTTCAAGGGAAGGTAAAGACATTTGTCTTTTCTGAGGATGGGAAGAGATTTGCTTGGATTGCAGATGGCCAGTAAGTGTTAACATTTTCTTTAAAATCTTTCTCTTTTTTTTTTATTTGTATTGTATTATTGTAATGTAATACTGTATACAAGTTCATCAATTTTATACATAAAATTTTTGACTAAATTCAATACGTATAGTTATTGTATATGTCCCCTAAATTATATTGCTAATATACCTAGTCACTTTTTTCTTTAGTGCAATACTACTATTTTCTTGCCCGAAATGCTGTACATATTGGTGGCTTTAGGCACTGTATGTACTAGCTCTATCTATAAATCCAACAGTATGTGTGTGTGTGACTCATCTTGTATGTATGTACTTTTACCTGAATAAACATTTGATTTGATTTGATTTGATATATATTTTATATACAGTAATATAAATATTTATATAAGTCAGATTTGATAAGATCAGATCTGTCTGACTTATCCTGCTGGATAAGCAGAATTCTTACTTGGGAAGTCCAAAAGTGAATATTCAGTGGTCATAATGTTTTTGTACCACAACCAACATAGTTTGAATTTCCACACACATTATACAGTAATTAAAAAGTACCCTAGTATTGTAATTTAAAACAGAAACTTTGACTTTCCTTGTTGTAATTCGTCTTGATTGATACTGCATACAGTATCTTCAAATCAATAATTCTTGAAAATTTACGTTACCTAACTTAGCACAACACATAATTTTTAAGTGATGCTGTGGTCACAAGCTGAACAGTAGTGTTTTTAGCTTGTGCTGCATGTGCGCCAGCCTTGGTTGCTCACTCAGGCCTTCAAAACCAGGACTGGTGTCCACGATTTTCTTTTTTCAAAATGGTGTCAGTTTGCTGGAGCCCTGAGAAAGCTGATGTGAGCCCCATGTACTCATGGGACTTGTTTAGTACTCTAACTCTCTCTCATATATATAATATATAATATATGACATGCGTAGTGGATGGGTTAAACCTGAAATCCTATTCGGATTAAAAAGTCAAGAACTCCGAATGTCAATTCATTCCTGTTATCCAATGATTCAGGTTACTAGATATCGGATTACCGAGCTCTTATAGTACTGAATCACATTGAAAGGAATGTCTTATTTACAAAAATAAGACAAAAATTACACAGAAACTTTCTTATTTTTTGTAATGACTTACAAATAATGTTTTATTTTTTGTGTATATTGCATTTTCTTCATCCATAATGCTAATTTTGGTGGAGGGGGGGTTAGTGTTTTGTTTAATGCAAGTTACAAGAGCTCTTTGTTAAACTTTTATATGAACAAATCCACAAGGGCCGTGACGAGGATTCGAACCTGCGTCCAAGAGCATCCCAGACACTGCCTTAATCAACTGAGTTACGACACAGCCCTTGTGGATTTGTTCATTTGATGCATCATGCAATTGTGATTTCTGTGTTTAAACTTTTATGTGTTTGCAGGGTGTTTGTGGTAGAGGCTCCATCTTGGGAGAGAATTGGATCTCTAAAGCACCCGCGTGCTCAAGAGATTTGTTTTTCTCCTCAAGGCAACTATTTGGCAATTTGGGAATCCTATGTCAGTAAGTAACAGTCTTCATAAGAGAAACTATATTTTATTAGTGGCACGAGAAACTTGGTACACGTGGGAATTTGTCAGCATGTTACTTGAACCTTAATTTTTAAGAATAAATTAAAAAAAAAAATTGTTTATGCAGAGCAAATCTTATTAAGGTTGATTAAACATTGTATAAAGATTATTTATAGGTCATTTGCAATACAAATATAAACTTCCTATTACCACTATGCAAACCTATGCATAGTGGTATGTACATTCACTTCTTTTCCTACCGATTTCCTCCTGTTAAGAAAAGTGTTCTGGTTTCTCTTCCTCCACACACTTAGCATCAGTGACCCTTAGTGTCTTGATTCTGAAACTTCTTTTATTTGCAAATCTTTCTCATGCCTTGGTTATCCCTTACATGTTATCAACTGTGCCTATTATCATAGGCACAGTTGTTGATGAGGGTCTTGTGTGAGCCCTTTAATTGGTCCATATCATAACATGCAACTGATCATTTGCATGCCTCGGCACTTTTAGGTGCTCTTGGTCCTCGACCTTTCCTGGTGCAGGCTCTGTGCAGACTTCCCAAATATGAATAAGGTATGGAGTAGGTAGTGCTCTATATCTCATCTTGACTACAAATGGGCAGCACATTTTTGTTCTGATAATTGTCTCTTACTCCTTTGAGTGCATCGTAGTGACTGGCTGCTCTTAATGGTATTGGTTGCTCAGATGCATTCTGCGGCTCTCTTCTCCCTACTACTTTCGGTCAGCTGCAGCTCTGCTTTTTGTTGGGAGATCTCTGCAGAACTGCTTCTGTGGAAAGTCCTAATGTCGGCATAGTGGGGGAACGTCTGCAGGCCTTTAGGAAGGCTTGGATGCTTGGTCTTTTCATATTAGCGAGAGGCTCTTATGGGTGTGGTTCCCTTGGTTTCCTCCGATGTCTGTTTTAAGGCACCCTTCTACTCTCTTACTTCAATTTCACATTTGCAAAATGTTGGACAGAAGGGTAATTTTCTGTTTCCTAATTATTGACGGTCATGTCCAGATTCATTCTGGTTGCCAGGAAAGGTTCTTCTTAATTTAAAATAAATTCGGTCAATAGGAGATATTGTAAATCGTATAGCAATTTATATTAATCTTATGCTTATACTGGTGCAAGTGTCAGTTTTTCAATAAATTATTTTGTTGCTTAATTTTAAGAAATTTAAGTTTAGATTTTTGTTTCATTGTAATACAGTACAATACAGTGCAGTTTAACACTGTCTGCATATGAAAACTGGAAAAAAAGAAAATGCATTAATAAAATTTTTGCTCTTCCAGAAACAACAGACCAAAGTCAGATTCAACCAAACTTAAGTGTTTATGATGTGACAGGAAAGAAACCATTGAAGTCCTTCTTCCAGCAGAGTCAAGTAAATTGGTAAGCCATTTTAATTTGCTGCTGCGTGGCGTCTTGTTTTTATTTATTTATTTTTATAAACGTTATTATAATTTTCATCATTTACAAAGCCCGTTATATTATCAGTTGATTACAAATCTTCAACTAGGGAAAAGAATAATTTATTATTTATAAACTATAATATTTTCAATTTTCTGCATACTTCAGGGTATACTCTTTATGGATTTGTGCAAATTCTTTGTCTGGGCTGTCCTCTCAGTATTTTCTCAGTGTATAGCTTCTGGTTTCACCGATACATTTAAAACTTTCCCAAGCCTGTGGACTTATGGAAGCCTAGTTGATGCCAGGACCAAAATCTGGTGTGCTCATAGAGGTAACGGAAGCTTGGGGATCCGAGATCAACTTGCAAACTGAGTAAAACGTCCCAGAAAGCAGAAGCGAAGCAACAGTCAACAAACCATGTGTTACTATCTGAGTGTACCACTAGATGGCAGTTCAGGTCACCTAAGGATTCAACCTGCCTGTTTGCCTTACTCATATGGGTCCCCAAAAATGCCCTAACTCCTGTGGGGATGTGTAAAGAATTGTGGATAGAAGGAAATGTCAATTCCTCCCAGAAAAGGGAATTTTATTACTACCACTGCTTAATTTCCGAGCTGACCTTTGGTAGCTTCCCGTTTTTACTTCTTACAGTGCCTCATAGAAAAGAGGAAACCCAGGGATCGGGAAATGATGAACTCGGTGACTGGAAAGCTGTTGCAACACTTTACAGCCCCAGTAAGGATAGGAAACATGAAAGGTAATAACAGACGGCACTGTTAGACTGCTAGAAATTTAGGGTCTATATATGAGCCATAGACATAGCAGTAACAGCATACTTAATTAAGTGCATCGTGCATATGATGGTTCACATCATACTCAGTGAATCGAACCACCTGATGGATAACTTGAGAGAACCTAGCTTTTGAACAAGGCATCAAGGAAACAGGATTGATAGCAACTCAGGAAGTGTAACATGTAAATATTGCGACCCAGCAGAAGCTGGACAGAGGGCATGATGCATCTGTGACTGGACAAACCACCAGAAGACTTCTATGAAAAGCAGAGGATTTATTCTTTGCCAAAAAGTATAAAGCATACTGGAGACAAAACAGTTTCCAGGATGAAAGGAACAAAACCCTTCTTGCAGTGAACTACCTACCTACCTACCTGTTGAAGGTTCTGGGAATCTATGTCTCCATGGCCTGATCTCTGACTATGCCTCCTGGTTGCTGAAGAGGATGAATCAAGATTTATGTACTGACACAGGTCTCAAACAAGAGAGTGAAAAATTACTTTGTTTCTCAGCAAGGGGCATGCCGAATGCAATTTCTATCGGGGTAGAAAAAACAGAGCAACGTGTAAAAACTACACCCCAGAATAACTATCCAGACGAAACAGGTTCTCCGTACCCTGACTAGCAGAGAAAAGATCTTAAAAAATTATGTGACATCCCAAGGTGAAAGTTTGGTCATTAGAGAAGTGCATTAGGTGTGCACTCAACTTAATCCTGTCTGTCCCTATCCGATGGGAAAAGACATTGCTGTTCACAAACGAAACCAAAGTCAAAAGAAAATCAGTTGTTTCTTCATTCACAAGTGCAGAAAGTGGAGGTGTCCATCTTTCCTGATCTGGTTGTACTAATACTGTAACCCCTGTGGTGGTTGGTGTTTGAGGTAGTTGATAAGGATGTACTGTAGTTCAGGTTAAGTTGTTGTAGTTAGGATAATTGGCTATCCTAAGCAGTCCCAATTATCTTACGGAAGGGCCGTGAAGGGGGGTTTGATATGTCCTTTTGTCAAAGCGTGGAAAGTGTCTCGGTGATGAATTTTAAGAGATGCTCTCCACTGTGCTTCTCACTCCTGAATTGTGCAACAAGACCATTTAGAAAGGTACCTGTTTCTGTGGGACTCAATCACATAGGATCCAGTAGTGATATGGATGGCCCCATGGCTGTGGTTCAGAGGGGGCCTTGCTCAATGATATGAATACTGTTGTATAACAATAATCAGCACACAAACGTTGAAATATAATACTGTGGTAAAAAATTGTGTTCAAAACGCAGCCTGTCGTACATGTCTGGGGGCAGTGCAGGTGCTTTCCTGGAACATAAGTGTATTTGGGATAACTCTTGGTAAATGAATAAATCCACAAGGGCCATGATGAGGGTTCGAACTTACGTCCAGGATGATCCCAGACACACCTTAATCGTCTGAGCCACAACATGGTCAAAAGAATTGCAACCGGGATTGCTACTGCTCTCACACGGATCCCGCAGTCTCTCCGAGACACAAACCGGGGTTTTAGACAATTTCCCCCGTGCACTCGGGCTCTGTCACCAAATTATTCTTCCTCTTCGCCCTTACTTCAATACACGTGTAGAGTAACTCTTGGTAGTTTGGCAAGTTTAGTAACATTGTAATTAAACATGTTATTTGTTATAATTTTAATTGAAATGTTATTTTTTCAGGCAGCCACAGTGGACCAATGATGAAACAGTATTTGCACGCAGTGTTACCAACGAAGTACATTTTTATAAAGCAGATGACCTTCAAAATATTGTGGAGAAGAAAATCCTTCAAAAAGTGCGATCGTTCAGTATTTCACCATCCACAGCCACCCATTATGTAACTTTTTTTGTACCTAGTAAGTGCTAGTGACAACTTTATTATTACTCTTATCTACTTTTTGTAATACAGTACTGCATTTATTTTATCTATTGTATATTGCATTTGTTTTCTTTACTTTTAGTTTTGTATTTATTGTTCTTAAGAGCAGTTTAGATAAGGCTTAAAAATTCTTAAAACCAAAGACCATTTCAAAACATATTTGGAAATTTGGAAACACCACACACAACTCCCATGCAAGATGCACCTAAGGTATATTCTTGATCTAAAAATTTTAATGTAGTGAAACAGAAGCCATCAGAATATAATATGCCAAGCAAATGTAAAATCTCGGGATGTTTTTGTACTATTCAGACAATGCATGGCTTGAACGGTGATGATATCTCCAAGGAGTATTACAGTCTGTATTATAAATTATTAATCAGGGGTTAAAGTTTGTATAGTATACTGTACAGTAATGGGTTTGGCAGGTTGAAAAGATTTGTTTTTAAATACTTGCTTGTCGTTGTTCTCTACAGACCTGTTTTTGTCATTTAACTTTTCAGTGTAAAGGTTAAAAAAAGAAAAACTGCTCAAAATGCATAACTATGGGAAAGAAAAAGAGAATTGATCAAGAGTTTATGGTAATAGACTGCACAGATGTGTCTAGGGAATTTGAGATGGTGTTTGAAAAGACAGATGAGTGCTTGCTGACCTGGGTAAGGGTGTGGAACTCTGGAATGGTGAATGGGATTGCCATTAGCAGGGAGGATGGGAATTATCAGGAGAAAGTGCCAAGCCATTACCGCCTATATAGCACTTGGAAGGGATCAGAATGAGGATTTGGGATGGGACGAGGGAAAGGAAAGGTGCCCAACCACTTGGAGGGGCGGGGCCATTACCAGGGAGTGAAGTGCCAGTACAGAAATGAAATGAGAAATGATTTTTAATTCTGCAGTGTGTGGGAATCTTATTTACCTTCGGTTCAGCATATAGTATATAAATTGAGAATGCTGAATATTAAAGTTCTTGATATCCAATTTCTTATGGAAAATGGAGTTTGAATTAATGTTAATTCAGTATATAAAAATATAGGAGAGGGTTATGATCAGTCACATTGTATTGTAGCAACAACAGAGAATTGGAAGTTCTTAGTGATTAAAATGTAAAATTGCACACCTTATTACAAATTTAAATTAATGTACTTATTTGTCTTCTTTCAGGTATTAAGGGAGCTCCGGCGTATGTGCACCTCTATCGCTATCCAAATTTCAAGGAAGCTTCTAATGCTTTGGCCAATAAAAGTTTCTTTAAGGTATTTGAATACTGTATATGTATTATATAATGTCTAACACACCTTTATTATTATTATTATTACTTCACTATGTAATAATATGACCACTATACAGTATATTCTCCAAGTTTGATTATACACACCTTGTGCAACTTTTTGAAAGTATTAAGTTTAAGGTGGAAAATTGAAGCTCTCAAAGTTCAACAGTACATGAAACTTAGATTTCTGTGAAATTGGGAAACCATTAAATGTTTAGATGGTTGTCAGAGTTGAGTCTAGGTGCCATCCAAAATTTGGCAGTAATAAATCTCTGTATAAAGTACAAGCCTACAGCGTTTAGCACTTTGGATGCTTTCCTGGAGAAGCGCTAAAGGTGGACACTATACCATTGTGAATTTTCTGTGGAAACACACACAATATTGTTACTTTCTGCCTAGTTGTATGACTGATGTGACATCTTTGTTGGGATACCGTTTGTACCACTGATTATAATACATGTAATGATACACAATACAGGATGAATTATTCAATTGTGCAAACAAGGGTATGTGAATATGTACTTGAGAGAAGTATGCTTACCTGGAGAGCATCAAGTCTGTGTGTGTACGAAGACAATGTACAAAGATTGTACAGAGACAATGAGAGCATATCTGGAGTTTTTTTTCTCTGGGATGATGCCTCCAGACCCGATGAAAATGGGAAATGGAGTAACGATAACTGGTGGATGGATAAGTTCTTTTCGTAGCTATTATTGAGGAGAGACTTTTCAGTTTTCCTGTGTACAGTATTTTGTTTATTGTTTTAGGTATAATGTCTGTCTGTGGTAATTTGATTTTTCTGTGTTCTAAGGTAGGAGGAAAGAAAACAGCTTCCTCTTACCATCGCTGGCTTGGTAGCTTTTCAAAATAGTTTTCAGTAACTGCTGTACTGTTCATGTGCAGATATTATCACTAAGACTCCTGCATTATTAAATTTCAAATAAGAAATGACAAAAGGTATTTTTGTATGTACTACAATTTATACAAGTACTGTATAGTGGCAAGAGAAGGCCCATCTGACTCATTATTTTCAGTTAAAATGTCAAACATTTTGGTGTTTTGTAATGCTAGATACTGCAGTAATGCTTGTTGCAAGAAATCTTGGTAAACTTGTCCGATTGGTCTTGCCAAAAAAGACATTTTTTTAAACCCCCCCCCCCCCCTCCCCCCAGCCAAATTTATAAGAAATGATCACCAGAGTTGATAGTTATCATATTTGAGTTCATAGTAAATATACATGGTAAAATTGAGCCCTAATTATGGTGAATTGCTAACATAACCTTACTGGAATATTTGAGTAGACTGCTGCAGTTATGTAGTTTATCCTAGGACTTTTTCAGGTAAGCAATGTTAGCATTATTTAGGTCTAGTTGTATTGCTTTAATACCCGACACCATTTCAGTTTTCTTTGCAGTTTTTATTTGTTTATTATTACAGGTTGACACGATAGACAGCTTTTGGAACAAGCAGTCTACGGCATGTTTGCTTCTGACTGCTGCCGAGATGGATAAGTCAGGGACTTCATACTATGGTGAACACATGCTTTTCTACCTCAATACTCGAGGAGATTCGACAAGGGTCACGTTCTGTAAGTATAGTACATTACATGAATTTGTCATGTATCTTGAAATAAATTCATGAATTCCCTAGATTTCACAAATGGGGCCTGCACACCAGGCCCATTTGTGAGTTGCAGTTCTTGTTTCCTGCTTATAAATACTGCTATATTTAAAAATAATAAATCACAAAATCATGGCTGAAAATCAATTTCCCAACTCTCACATAAGGGTCCCTAATGGGCTCAAAAGTAATCACTTTCATGTATATGGCTTGGGGTTTTTATTGATATACACTGTATTTGTATACCTGTGTGTTAAGAAATGATTTCTCAGTCTTGTTAGTATTTATTCTATTTTTTTTATTTAATATTTGTATTGTGAAAAACAAAAAATCCATAAAAAATAAGCCACATTATGAAGCATTTTTATCGGTGAACTGTTCCATTTTCCTTAGCTTTTTCTGTAATGGGAATTTATAAAATACATAAGTAGCAGCACCAAATATCCCCAGATTTCGATAGGAATCGCCAGACATCCCTATGTCTTCCCAGACAGTACTAGGAAGTGTGGCCCACCCACCACATTCATCTGTTCCAGGAGCCTTTGGCTTCTGTAATCTTTTCAAAGAGTTGTTTAAAAAATTTTGTCCATATATATCCTTCTCTTTCAGTGGTGGTGGTGTAGCACCTGTGCTCGTTCCTAAGCTCATTTGTGTAAACTATGTTACTGTACAGTCCATAAAATGTTTCGAACAAACTCGGATACAACATTATTTTACTAATTATGTTATAAAATAAAGCTATTAAACTAAATTATACACACAGTGGTTAAGATTTAATCTATTGCATTATGTGATATAACTGCTCATCTATGCACAAGGGATAGTAATGCTAAATCCAAATATTGATAAAATACATAAAAACTTGAACACCTAAAATACAACCAGTTATTATACAAATATAATTGTTGACAAATAACAAGTTGACATACAGTATACACAAAATTGCTGAAACAAATGTTGAAATATACTCTGAAGCCATAGTTATTCAACTCCACTGCACTAGTCATTTGACTGAGCAGTGTACAATGTTGTTAATGCATCGTCGGCTCTGTTTGCCTCTTATATTAACCAGACGTCTTACAATGGAAGTCATGGGTTATAAAGGTGGTAAATTAAAATGGAAATGTAGTTTCCATTCAGAATTTGACATGCTTTAGTGAGACCCCAAATTTATTTAAATTCCATGTAAAAAGTTGGTATTTATTTTTGTGATTCTTTCTTGATTTTGTATCTTAAATAGTTCTTCGAATCTGTTTATCTTGTTTCATTGATACCAGGGTCAGGTCCACTACGGGCTCACCATGGCTCGTGCTGCTTGGAAATTTTGTTCCGAGTAGCTGAATCTTTAACAACAACAAGTGATACCCGATTTCTTTTGGGGAGTTGGCCCACATATGAATCTTTTCTTGACATTACAACTGCCTTAAAGAGTTGAAGACTTTAGGTGTAATAAATGGTTTATTACCCAAACAAACTATGGGTTTGGTTCCTGAAAACCGATTATGTGCCTCTGTAACCCTTTCCACCACTGTCCGCAGAATGGGTATGGGGTGCATAATAAAGACTTGAATAGTACCCCATGTTCTGGTTCTTAAGAGTGAAGCAGGGATTTGTTGCTTGCATAGAGAACCAACTCTGTTGTGAAAGAAGTTTCACCAAGTATATACAAGGAAGAAAATTAAGGGCCAATGGCAGGCATTGTCACATTCTTAAGTACAGTACAGGTAAGATGAAAAGACAGAAAATGGGTCAAGATTTTCTTTAAATGTTCAGTGTGGAGGAGGAGAAGCAGGAGCAAAATACCACGTAGTGCTACTGGATAGTTAAATTTTTTTAGAATAAATTACTGTGCCATTATGTTTTAAATTCAGACAATTTTTTTTTTTCAGCCAAACCAGGAAACATTCACTCCGTGTCATGGTGTCCAAATGGTCAGGAATTCTTCGCAGTCTATGGTACAATGCCGTCCAAAGCCACACTTTATAACCACAAGTGTGAAGCCATAGCTGAGTTTGGCTCAGGGGCTCGGAACACTGTTCTTGTCAATCCAGTTGGTAATATTGCATTAGTGGGTGGATTTGGTAACATTGCAGCTAGATTTGAGGTAAGATGTGCCTAGAATAAATTTGGTTATTTCGTTAATCAGTCTTCAGTATTCAATAATTTTCTATTTCACTGATATCACACAGAATTGAACATACATTTCAGCATAAATTTTTGTTTCATTGCTTAACAAACCTTATTTTGATGTAAATGATACCAGATTTTTTTTTTTTAGTTTTTAATTATATTATTCATATATTAGCATAAATCTGTCAAAATTATATACATCTTCTATTTTTAGCCGTAAGTAGTCTCAGTGTCTGGGTTTACATATCCTGGGTGTCCCCAAGTTGCGGACATGAGACTGACAAACATTACTTCGTACATGTGAACCCACGTTCACATGTTCATAGTACGATCTGCTCTGTGGCATCTATAAAGAGGGGGGTGCCATTATCTCTCAGACAGGTGATTAACACAGGCTATACAGTAATGACAAAACATTCATTGACCTTTCGACAGCAGTTATCGTCAATTGTTGATTCACAGGGTAGTGTAGTTATCATCATATGATGATTTAAACAATTATTGGGCGGGTTTTACACTTATGATGCAAATATGGATATAATGGGTCTATATAGATGTAATGGAGTTTGCCTTGACCCATGTATAAAATCCTGCTACTATTTCAAGGTAGAAATGCCGTTATCATCATGAATGTTACTAGGGAATGTGGTCATCATCATATGATGATTTAAACAATTATTGTCTGGGTTTTACATATATAATGCAAATATAGATATAAAAGTTCTCTGTGGATGTAAAGAAAGAAAAACAAGTGATAAAACAATCAGGGAAACATTGGAGGATAAAACATGAAGCGTCAGCAAAGTTGAGCACCAGGCGTTGACAAGTGCGAGACGCAGCCTTGCCGAGCACCTCCCACTCGGTGAAACGATAAATATTAAAAAAGAAATTGTGTTTTTCTTGCATTCTGCATACAAGTTAATAATTCTATAATAAAAACTTATTTGTTGGAATTTAATTTTTTTTTGTTGGGGGGGGGGCATAGGTGTATATGAACCACCATTGTCTAAGGGTTAAAAATCATTCATTTGAAAAATGTGTATGGTGCATATGCGGGTAGGCAGGTGGTTGGGATGGTTGAAGGGATGAGGAATCCAATGTACTCGAAAGAGGATAGAGGAATCCATTGTACTAGAAAGAGAGGCCACCATGTATAATAAACATCAGCTAATATATCCTGATTTTCGTCATTTTTATTCTTTTGGTCAAATACATGTTCATGCAGCTTCAGAAAATATTATCATTAACTAAGAACACATGACACAATCTTTTAAGGTTTAGAAATTCAAAAGAACAACTAGATATGCATTGTCCATAGTCAATCGCAGGGATGCCAGATTGGGCTACTTGTAGCCCAATTCGGTTACCAATTAGGATAATTGTATTCAATTAAAAAGCCATCTATGTATGTCGCTACTTACTACTTTTTTGGCTACAGTTAAAATAAGCTGGGCTGTTTATTCTAAAAAGCGAATCAATCGGGAAAAAAATATTTGGCTACTTTTATTGTAAAGTTTGTAACATTTAGTTCTTCAGCTCGCGACTTTTTGCAGCTCAAATCTGGCACCCCTGGTCAATCGTGCGAGGTATTTCCAGGCTGGCACCGAGTTGTAAAGAGTGATGGGGTGCAATGATTACTGGAAATATAATGAGTAGAATATAATGAAGATTGTAAATAGTATAAATCAAATGATGACTACGTGAACATGTATTTATATAGTAAACTTATGATATAGATGAAAACAAGATAGAATTGTAGTACACTATTTTATTCTCATTTTTCTGCACAGTAATTAGGGAAGGTTCATTAATTTATTACGATGTTGGGGACACAAAAGAATAACGTATCACTGGTAGAAAAGAAATTGATTTACTTCAGCCAGTGGTGCTTCCATAAGTAACTTTGAAACATGGGGTCCCCAATGTTTATTTTTAGCCGCAAGACATATATTCTTGTGCTATAACCAAAGGGCTCCTTGCAGACGTGGGACATCGCAGCACGCAAGAAAATTGGTGAAACCGAGTGCCCTGATAGCACATCTTTCAGTTGGTCTCCATGTGGACAGTACATGCTGACAGCGACCTGCTCTCCAAGACTGAGAGTTAATAATGGGTATGTTTTTACTCAACAAAAAGAGTTGTCGCCTTTGTGTGTTCCATTGATTTTTAGTACATTTTACACAGTATTGGAGTTCAGTTCTTTTCTTAGTCTCGCTCTCTAGGTCTTCTGCTTTAATGCTATAATCTTCAAAGCAGCCATCAGTACACAGAAGGGGAAGGGAACTATCAGGTGGAAAGCACCAAGCCATTATGACTATAGCACTGGGAAGGTATCAGGATAAGGATTTGGGATAGGATGGGGGGAAGGAATGGTACCCAACCACTTGGACGGTTAGGGATTGAACGCCGACCTGCATGAAGCGAGACCGTCGCTCTACCGTCCAGCCCAAGAGGTACACTACATTTCTTACACCTGCACTTTCAGGTCATCTTTCTGTTTCGGTTATCTTTTCTGTTTCCCTTTATTCAGTATTGTGCAGCATCATATGTGTGGAGCATTGTCAGGATTAATTACCTCACTCCCTGTTTCTGTTCTTGTCATCTTGTTCTTATTTCTCAATTTTTCTATCTCGGTAAATTGTTTTGTTGTAATTGTTACTTGCCCCATTTCTGTCAGGCTTCTGTATGTATTTTCTCTATCCTTATCTATAAACTTTCCATATTTACTGTATTATCATGTTCTCTTTTTTTTCTACTCTCATCTTTCTCTCTCATCTCAGATTTTTGTTAAATTTCCCCATAAATATTCTGGTAAAAAAAAACTAAAAAGTATTAATCAGGACTCCAGGAATTTCTTCTGCTCCACTTTTTATGTCTGAGAATAAGATTATAAACCTTATTTATTGTCCAGATAGCAAATGTTCAATAATAATTGTTAAATAATCCATTTTCTCCAATTTTGCAACAGTTAAGGGTCATTAATATTTTCAGATATAAAATGTGGCACTACACAGCGGTGTTGCTGCATGAAAGCTTCGTAAATGAGCTCTATGCTGCCCAGTGGATTCCTGACCCTGAGGCTGCTAAGCCCTTCACTATTTCCACGACACCGGTCACTGGTATAGAATCCTCCATTGTTGCTGGTGAGTTGTATGTGCAGTTGTACTCACCTAGTTGTGCTTGCGAGGGTTGAGCTTTGGCTCTTTGGTCGCGCTTCTCAACTGTCAGTCGACCAGTGTACAGATTCCTGAGCCTATTAGGCTGTATCATATCTAGATTTGAAATTGTGTATGGAGTCAGCCTCCACCACATCACTTCCTAGTGCATTCCATTTATTAACTACTCTGAGTTAACACTAAAGCCCCGAAATCATCTCAAGATAACCTCTAGATAGATAACCTTCCCATATCTTAATTTAAGAAGCACATCAACAACCTGGAAAAGGTGCAAAGACTTGCAACTAAATGACTTCCTGAAATGAAAGACAAGAGCTACCAGGAGGGGTTAGAGGCATTAAATATGCCAACGCTAGAAGAAAAAGAGGCAAATATGATCATAATGAACAAAATAGTAATGGAAGTCAACAAAATTGATAAAGAAGAATTCTTGAGACCTGGAACTTCAAGAACAAGATGTCACAGATATAAGCTGACTAAACAAAGCTGTTGAAAAAAATATTAGAAAAATTCACTTTAGCAAACAGGGCAGTAGACAGTTGGAACAAGTCAAGTGAGGTGGTGGTGGAAGCCAAAACTGTTGGTGGTTTCAAAGCAGTATATGATAGTGCTGGGAAGTTGGGACACCATGAGCTCAACTCTCATCCTGTAACTATTTTTAGGTAATATGACACTATCTTGCATCTGCTTCTAGATCAGGAGGCATCTGTTGTGGATGCAGTTTACCTGGACTGGGGTTGGTGGATAATATACTGATAATATATACCTAGTCCATCCTGCTTCTTGTTTTGGTCAGGTTGGAGTATTTTATGAGTTTCTTTCTGCTGTTGACTCCTGTGTGGTTGGTTCGGTACTGGTCCCCAAGGTTCCCCTAAGAAATTTGCAATGCAACCTACTTTGATGGTTCAAGGCTCTGCCAATTTGAATGGCATCTCTAGGCCTTGTGTACCATCACCTGTATAAAAAATGAGGTGGACCTTTTGCATTTGCATCTTTCTATGCACCAGCAGCATGAGTTGAGTTGGTGGTCCTTCCATCTCTTCTTCTCTTTACAGTGTCTGTCCTCTTGTGTTGTTGGTTGTGGTGCTGTTTTTTCTGTTCTGTCTCTTGTATGTATTACTGACTGATATCTATTACTGTCATTTCGTACCAGTTTGCCTTGGCAGAGCCTTTTTTCTCGTTACATTGAAGTGAATAATGAGTTCTTCTCTAGAATTGTTGTGATCTGTAAATCATGTGTTGGCATTCTTGTCCTCTTGTCATTTTTCAGGTTTTTCTCTCAATCAAGGAATTCTTTTTAATGTGTTTCCTGGCCCTTGTTTCCAGCTGTTGGGTTAAAAAGTCTTCTATCGTCATGCTGTGAGTCAGATGTATCGGTTTATTCTTTTGGTCCAGGGGATGATATTCTTTGCTTCCAGGCTTCTCCTTAGTTTTTTGTTAAGAATGAGACTTTGGGTGTATGATGGGGATTTTTGGTCATTGATGCATGGTTTGTTAAGCCAAGAATTCATCATATAGTCTGTTCTGTGGCTGCAGTGCAATATTATTTGCATGCTACTTGTACTGTGTTGGTGGATGCATTGTTTGTTAACCATGTTCCTAATGTTCTTTGTTTCAAAGCCTACTTCTCTCAGGTCATCCAGGATGTAGTCCAGTTCAATAGCTGGCTATATATCCTTGCACACGTGTGAAAGTTTACTGGTGTCACAGTTTTCTTTGCCATTATGTCCATGGCTAATGTCTTGGCTCAGGGCTTCTGGCCGTCCAACATCCACCACTCGACCATCTAAACAATTATGCATTATCAACCATAGTATTGACTGAAAATTCTGGACAGTAACCCATTTCAACAGGTTTTTTGGAGAATTGTGGTCCTGAGGATTCTGAAAAGAGCAGGTTGACTACACGTATATTCAAGATTCTTTTCCAATTGGCCATCAAAATGCTCAATTTTTTAACTGAAAAGACGTTACTTTTCAATATTATGTAACAAAATTGTGTATGCATGTGGAGATACAGTATATACACTTTTGTAGATGACTAAAATGTATCATTCAACTGCCCCTCAGTACAGCATTTAGTTACACATGTTCGTGACTCGGAGAGATTATAAATGTAAGGTCTAATCTTTGCTTGCAGCTTCAAAGCAGAAGTACATCCTTCCAAGTCAGAGAGGAGCCAAAGGCCCTGTTGGTTTGACAAATACTGAGAAAAAGTTCCTCAGTGAAGTAGATGACCCAACAAAGAATGAAGGTAATACTTTACAATTTTTGTTTATGGTAAAAGACCAATTTGTGTTGTTGATGTGCACTTATTATCATGTCTTTACATGAAAAGAATTTTGCTAATGCAAAACTTGCTATTAGTTTGGATCAATTTTAGAATAAATTGACACTAAAGAGGAATATTTCCTGAAAGTTTAGAGGTCATTTGAAAAATATGGAAGGTTGGAGGGAGATTTCCTCTTGTGCTGTCATATCATCACCATTTGTAATTGATTCGTTAATAGACAGTTGTCTGTCTTGTAATTTGTCATAATTGTTAGCTATAGTTTACGTTTCTTGTTATGGATAGCACCTGCCCAGTTGTCAAAGTCAGCTTTGAAAAACAAGAAGAAGAGAGAAGCTGCAAAGAAAAAGCGTGAAGAAGAAGGGGAGGCTGAGAAAGGGGGAAACAACTGGAGAGAGGCGGGTCCTCCAGAGACTGCAGCTCCAGTTAAATCCTTTGCTGCCAACATTGAACTGACTGGCGATCCAGAGAAAGACAAAAAAATAAAAAATCTCAAAAAGGTAAGGACTACAAGAACACTGGTAAACAGTTGTGATTTATTGTGCATGATTAGAGAATTCAGATGATGAGGTGACATAAAATATTAGGGGGAGAAACTGGAAGTAATGACGGCTCTAAAAGCCGTGATGATTTGACTATTAGAACAATACTTGAAAATTTTGAACAGGGATTCAAAGATAGAAATATGAACATAAAATTTGAACAAACTAGACATTGGTCCACATTCAGCCTGTGTTGTAAACACTTCCTAAATCAGCATTGAGATTACACGAACTTGTACTCAACATACTTATCGAACATATTATATCCCCGTCATTTACTAGAGCTTGTTAGCAGTGCACTACTTGAACTCATTACATTACCCTGGTTGTTTCCTGTAATGTGTTGCAATTGCCCTCATGCAATTGGAGGACATCTACTTGTTGCATATCAAGAAAGCTCATATTAAACAAGTTTTCTGTATTTTTCAGAAACTGGATGCAATTGCTAAGCTGAAAGGGGAGCAAGAGAATGGGAAGACCTTGGAGAAAAACCAACTGGACAAAATTGCCACAGAAGAGAAACTGATCAAAGACTTGGAGGAACTAACACTCTGATTTGCTTAAATATTATTTTTTGCAATTTTGTTTTATGACAAGCTTTCAAAAGTGAAGTACATTTAGTTTTAATTTTGAGAGCAAAAACTTGACAGCATCTGGCTGGTGACATATCCTATTAAGGTAAGAGATTTTTTAGCGGTAAACAGTATTTAGATTTGTGCTTCACTGGTAATGTTCAGCATATTAGTCAAAGGAAACAATATATTCACTACCTAAGTCTGTCTAGTCTCCAGTTAAAAAGAAAACAAAGAATCCTTGAACTGTCAACATTTGGATTAATCTTTAGAAATAACTAATTCTTCAAGTTCATTTTAAGTTCACATGTTCTTGCACATACAGGATTATATAATTTAGAATCAATGTCGTTATCAAAGATATTTTTAGATGCTGGCCATAATTTCTTTAAATTTTGTGTCTTCCATACCCCTCTTTGAAACTTAATGTATTTGAGTTGAAAGGTAGCTTCAAGCTTGGAATATTGTTACCAGTATGAATAATTACACTATAATGTAGAAAGAAAGCTTTCTAAAAATTGTATATATGGTGTTGTCTCTTAAGTGTTATTGTTTTCTTATATTTATAACAGCAGAGAGCTTCACTGCTTTGACAGTGTCAATGTTTTGAACTATCCACGTGTTAACATTATTTGCTTTTTATATAACTATATAATTTGTATATTTACGGATGGATTGGTTTATGAGGGTTAGAAGGCACTAGCCCATTAGATAGAAGTTTAATGCAAATATTTGTATAATTTTGTGTTTTTTTCCATAATAATTAGAAGCTATATTAGGCTAAATAGTTTTGTGTGTGTACAGTATAGCCTAACTTATCCAATGTAATGGGATATAATAAGCTTAGACGCCTTCAGAACCTTAATAGTTAATTATTAAATGAAGGAATACAGTTTGATTGAAACAATCCAGCTATCAACCTATAAATAATTATCTTTGTGATGTTATTTTGTTAATACAATTAAAAGCTGTTCTAGCTCATAAACAATGTTATCACAGACACCAATTGCTTTCAATTAACCTTATATTCTGCAAATACAAGTGTACAAGTCAGCGACAATAATATTTAGGAGGTTGATTACACTAGCGAGAGAAAATCATTGCAGCAAGACGGTGATCGAACCATCATCCTGGGCACCCCGGACGTGTGCCTTACCCAGGGTGCTGGCTCGCTCCCCAGCCTGCTCCAATGATGTTTTCATAGGTATATCACGCTTTTGTGATGTCTTTGTGTACAGCAATATGGCTATGTAGAATAAATGAATAAGGAGTCGTAGATGTAATTTTTACAAATTAGTGGCAAAGGCAGTTCAAAAAGTGGGCAGAAATGGAGAGTGGAAATAGGTTATTTCAGATAACAGTATTAGGTTCGAACCCTCATCAAAGCCCTTGTGGATTTGTTTATTAACGGATTGCTTTTATAGCAATTTGCATGATGTACTGTACCTGAAACCTGGAATTTGGAACTGTTGAATACTATGGATATCAGTCTTTGATATCCATATTAATAACACTTTCGCGCTATCTGGACGCGCCGGCGCGTTCGGTTTCGTCTAACGTAAACGCATAGTGGACATAAAGTTATGTCTACTTTTAAAATATTTGTATAAAATTCAATTTTTATCCGATTTACTTTGGGTTTGTTTCAAACTGCGCGCTATGAGGCTCTCTTTCTCACCACTAGGCTGCATGGTACAATAAGTTCATGAAAGGTGTGGATAACTTCGATCAAATGGTATTTTGTCCCAAACGGGTTGCAGGTGGGTGACTTTAGCCGTTTATACTGGTAATTCTTCCCCCATATCATGTATTATATGCATATGTCTGTTTAGGGAATTTTATTCCGATCAATATACAACCAAAAATAACTGTGTGCAACAAGTATAATCTTGACAAACATAACAAAAGTAAAAATATTTCGTGTGTGTTTGACGCTCACTGATATGTTCCAGCGTTGTTTTATATTTGTCGCTATTCTAACTTACGCTTTGTTGATATTTTTTACCTATGGGCACATAGAACATTCTATTGCGAACACATTGACATAAAAATGAATGACGTACATAGAAAATTAATGTCATGAGAGTGAAATAAGTATAAACTTTCAAAGCGCCGTGCGTCGTCCCGTCACCGATACCGGGTAACAATTTCACCACTTCCCACACTCTTGCGGGCGGGCTGCATCATTATTCTACGCTTATATTCATATCACCGTGTTGGGAATTTCATTGCGAGTCCATTGATACCAAAATTAACGCTGTAGAACAAGTGTGGAGGTGATTACAATCCCAAGAGTAAAAACATTTTGTTGCTGATGGGCGCTCACGGCGAGTCATCTACGTAGTTATTTATTTGGTGCTGGTATCCCTATATGTTTCGTGACTTATTTTACTAATGTTCTCCTAGAGAATTTTATTGCGAACACGTTGGTACCAAAATGAAATACGTAGCATGAGAACTAAGGTCAGAAGAGTAAAAAGAGTATACACATTTTTGTTTTTACGCTTAAGCGATAAAAACGCAGCGCGCACATTCGGTTGGCTGAGTGACCTTTGCGGAGAGCGCGAAAGTGTTAATTGTACAATACTAAGATTGTACAATTCTTAGATTTGCACAGTACTGTACTAAGTTATGATGCCAGATTTGTACAACACTACTGAGAGGTACCATGTCGCCGCTAAATGGAAGGTGGTATGGAATGGTAAGTATTACTTTAGATTTCTTAAAAGCTTTTCCTCCTTGACACTTGCCCTTCTTTTCATGGAAGGCATCTTTCCAGTCATTCCATGCCTCGTGAGTGGAAGAGACTGCCATTTCATGCCCCTTGAGCATTGGAAAATTTTCTCATGCCTTGGAGAGTGCAGACTAGCTTTGAATTAATATTTACGTCATTTATGGTACAATTTAGTTTATACAATTTATCTTGTGTTGCAAAGTTAACATTGCCACTGTCAACCATTTCACCAGTGTGAATTGTTGTCAACATATTCACTTTGTGTGTCTTTCCAATGCAACGATAAAATTTTGTTGCTTTTTCTCGACTGACAATCACCCACTGAAATATAAAATTATATTGTATAATGTGGGTTTTAAGCTTATAATGAGAGAGAAATGCCAGTGTTTGGTACTGGTAGTGCCAAACACTGACATTTCTCTATGTGCCTTTACTGTGACACGGATTCCAGTCTCATGTTCAAGCAAAAACATAGCAAGAGGCTTGTATAATTGTCAGCGTACAGAATACTGCCTTACTAGACAGTACAGTGTATTGCCCATGTTCAGCAGTGGTTTCGTGAGTGTCTTGACCACACTGTTAGGAACTCGACCGGGTGTATGTCGGTACTAGAATATGTCATCATTCACTATTCTGGTTTCACATATGAAGAATTTCAGTCCAGACGCGTGCTGTTTGAAAACAAGAAATACCTTGAAAAGAACTTGCAATTCGTCAGTCACTATATTCTGGCCTAAAAGAAATTTAACTTTTCTCTCACATTACTGAATACTTTACTCACTCTCTACAGTCCATTGTTTCGATCCACATTATCATTGTTTTCAAAATGTAGGCACCTTAGAAGTAGCAGGAACCTATGATGTGACATGTTTTCAAAATGTAGGCACCTTAGAAGTAGCAGGAACCTATTATGTGACATGTTTTCAAAATGTATGCACCTTAGAAGTAGCAGGAACCTGTCATGTGACATGCATCTCCCCAAACCTGGGGATGGAACACCACTGTCTTTGAACAAATCCACAAAGGCCGTGACGAGGATTCGAACCTGTGTCCGGGAGCATCCCAGACGCTGCCTTAATCGACTGAGCTACGACATGGTTTTGTGTGTGTGTGTTACTACTGTCTTTGTTTCAATAATCCTGTTATGACATGTTTCACCATCATATACAGCAAAAGAAACACACACCTCACCAACATAGTCTCGTGTTTTTCCAACATGTCATACATGAAGCTGGTAATATGCCAGATGCAATGAGTAGCACTGCAGTTTGTTTCATCATCAAGTAAGTAATTATCAAAAGAAGGCACCAAACCAGGAAGGCTATGTAGCACCATCAAATGTGCGGGATAACCAGAGGGCACTAAATATCACCAAGGATGCCAATAAAAGAACAAGCACAAGAGGCGTAAACGATATAAAAAATATCCGATTCACCAAGAATTCCATCGAGGGACAAGACACACGCTTGTCCCAGAAGTCAGGATAATCAACAAGGATATGCACGACCATAAGACGGACAATGGAATTTGGACAAGAAGGAGCAGGGTGGCGCTCCATTAAGTGACCGTGAGTTAAGCGTGTATGGCCAATATGCAACCTTGCTAGAGCCGTTTCCCATCGCCGATTACAGTGGTAGGAGGATGGCCATTAGGACACACTACTCCCAAGAGTATGCAGTTTGTTACCAGTAACAGAAGACCAACAATCCTGCCAACGGGTAAGGATGGCGGAATGAATAACTGGATAAAAGTCGGAATAAAGAATACCTTTACGGGAGATGGGACGAGTGGACAGCTTCCCTAGCGGCAGCATCCGCACGCTCATTTAAAGAGAGACCAATTTGGCTGGGAACCCAGCAAAATTCAACTGACTTAAATTTACTGGAAATAAGAAACAGCCAATGCTGAATCTCGACATCCACTGGATGGACCCGAGAGCCATGAGGGCACTACGAGTCGTCGACAACTACAAAGGAAGATTGACAACGAGAAAGCAGGAGACGAACAGCATAGAGAATAACACAAAGTTCCGCTGTGAAGATGCTAGTCTCCGGAGGGAGGCGACACATATAAGTGCTGTCAGGAAAAACAACAGAGTAGCCCACACCGTCTGCAGACTTAGACACATCGGTGAAGATGGAAACGAAGTGGGAGTGCAAAGAAAAGTGCTCAAGGAAAAGGCGTTTCAGAACCGTAGGATTGGTAAAAGCTTTAGTGATGCGGGTTAAGGATGTACAAAACTTCGGAAGGGGGACTCACCACGGAGGCAAGGAAAGAACAACACGAGGAAAAATATTAGAAATACGAACTGAAAGAGAAGTTTCATCATCAAGATTCTGCATGTAAGCTCAACAGAATAAGCCATATAATAATCACTCCTCATCACTAGTATATAGGCAAATGTTTGTATTTCTAGTACAAATTCATCACGTCCCATATGAATGCACTTGCTGCTTATACTGGTGCCGCCAGCACAATGGCCGTTTTCTCGAAATAAAACTTTGTTGGCCAGGAGATATAGCTCTTCTACATTGTATTGTCTCAACACGAACAGTTGAACTGGAAGCCACACTATCTTCAGTCCTCTTGGCTTGGGACATGCCAATGCGTACTTCTGATTGAGTTTTTTTCCTCCCAAAGTCCGGCCTCAGGCCAGGCTCTACTTGTGAGAGCTTGGTCCAACAGGCTGGTGTTTGGAGCGGCTCACAGGCCCACATATCCACCACAGTCCGGTTGGTCCAGCACTTCTTGAAGAAAATGACCAATATCTAGTTTTCTCTTGATGTCCACCGTTGTTCCGGCAATATTTCTTATACTCGCTGGGAGGATGTTGAACAACCGTGGACCTCTGATGTTTATACCGTGTCCTCTGATTGTGCCTATGGCACCCCTGCTCTTCACTGGTTCCATTCTGCATTTTCTTCCATATCGTTCACTCCAGTATGTTGTTACAGTATTTTGCTGTGCAGATTTGGGACCTGGCCCTCCAGTATTTTCTACGTGTATGTTATTTGATATCTCTCGTCTCCTTTCTAGTGAGTACATTTGGAGAGCTGTGAGACAATCCCAATAATTTAGGTGCTTTATCGTGTCTATTTATGCCGTATATGTTCGCCATACTCCCTCTATTTCTGCAATCTCTCCTGCTCTGAAAGGGGGAAGCGAGTACTGAGCAGTTCTCCAGATAGGACAGTACATCTATGCTACTTTAATCTAAACCAATGCCACTGAACCCAGCAAAATGACTCGTCTCTTACATTACCATGGT